AAGGCTTTGAGCACACCACCAAAACCACAGATGGTATGGAAGCCGAATCAGAAAAGATTCCCACAAATTCGAAGCCGCGGAGGGCAATCCAGTGCAACGAAGGAAAATTTACCACAGATCAGGGCCCAAACATGAATGACATTCACCTAACAGGGCTTCAAATAATTCCCACAAAATGTATGGAAGCCGCACCTCATATAACCAAAATCTCATTTATACCAAAAACAAGGCTTTGAGCACACCACCAAAACCACAGATGGTATGGAAGCCGAATCAGAAAAGATTCCCACAAATTCGAAGCCGCGGAGGGCAATCCAGTGCAACGAAGGAAAATTTACCACAGATCAGGGCCCAAACATGAATGACATTCACCTAACAGGGCTTCAAATAATTCCCACAAAATGTATGGAAGCCGCACCTCATATAACCAAAATCTCATTTATACCAAAAACAAGGCTTTGAGCACACCACCAAAACCACAGATGGTATGGAAGCCGAATCAGAAAAGATTCCCACAAATTCGAAGCCGCGGAGGGCAATCCAGTGCAACGAAGGAAAATTTACCACAGATCAGGGCCCAAACATGAATGACATTCACCTAACAGGGCTTCAAATAATTCCCACAAAATGTATGGAAGCCGCACCTCATATAACCAAAATCTCATTTATACCAAAAACAAGGCTTTGAGCACACCACCAAAACCACAGATGGTATGGAAGCCGAATCAGAAAAGATTCCCACAAATTCGAAGCCGCGGAGGGCAATCCAGTGCAACGAAGGAAAATTTACCACAGATCAGGGCCCAAACATGAATGACATTCACCTAACAGGGCTTCAAATAATTCCCACAAAATGTATGGAAGCCGCACCTCATATAACCAAAATCTCATTTATACCAAAAACAAGGCTTTGAGCATACCACCAAAACCACAGATGGTATGGAAGCCGAATCAGAAAAGATTCCCACAAATTCGAAGCTGCGGAGGGCAATCCAGTGCAACGAAGGAAAATTTACCACAGATCAGGGCCCAAACATGAATGACATTCACCTAACAGGGCTTCAAATAATTCCCACAAAATGTATGGAAGCTGCACCTCATATAACCAAAATCTCATTTATACCAAAAACAGGGCTTCAAGCACACAACACAATACCACAGATGGTATGGAAGCCACACCAAAAAACTAATTTCCCACAAATCCAAAGCCATAGAGGGCAAACCAGTGTAACAAAAGGAAAACCACAACAAAAAAACATATGTCAAAGGAACACGAAGAAGAATTGAGGGAGACGAGAGGGAGAGGACCGATAGAGAGCAGCTAGGGCAAGCCCGATCGCGTGGGGGACAAGGGCACGCGAGGGAATTTCATCAGAAACGCAGTTATGGAAAGCGAGACACAAGGTCGATCCCGTGTCCCGCTTCTTTTAAGAAAGTAATATCTGCATTTTCGGCCCGCCCCCCAAACACTCGAACCAAACGCCAGCTCCACATTTTCAAAACGCCACACGTGGCGATAAGCTGCGCCAAATGCACACTAAGCCTATTGAGGCAAGTTCATTCAAGAAACTTTAATGAAGATGATTTAAAGTTCATCCCATGCAAGGCAAGAGCGTCACTAACTTAATTGTGATTTTTTTTTGGCTTCAACAAAAATATAGTCATCTACTATTATACCTTTATTTTTTCCCAACGCTTCTTCGGTAGCTAAGATGCTCGTTGCTTAGCTTGGAGAACCAGCAATTGATATGATCAGATAAACTTGAAGAAAGAGCAAACTAGGTGCTCAATGAACTAAAGATCAAATGCAAGGGGCTTCGGCTCTGCCGCGTGCAAACCAAAGAGGAGATCACGACTTGCGTGTAGGAGGATCGAGCAACCAGGCTTGTTAATCATGTATCATAGGGAAGAACAGGAGTTTCAGAGGCTTTTATTTGTGGTGATCCCGTCGCTGTCTTCATGACTACCCCTAGACATATGATTCTATCATCATTTTCTAGGAAAGTCTAGGAAAGAGTTTCAAAAGTCTTTGTGTTGTGCAGTCCCATGTTTGCTTTCTCAGTGACTTTGATGTGACCGTATTGCGCCATGGCAGGAAAACAGAGAAGGGGTCAACTTTGGTTCGAACTGGAAGGGGATACTGAAGGTCTTTATGTGCTACGATCCCGTGGTTAGCTTCATTGCAACCTCAAACCATGAATGTATCGTGAGGTTTTTGGCCACGATGGAGAAAGGGAGGCTTGGCGTAGATTTTGAGTGCAAGCGATTGAAGGAAATAAATAAGGGAATTTCAAAGATCTATGTCAGTTGCGATCCCGCCATTGCTTCCTCAGCTAGCTCTAATCACAACCGTATTGTGAAGATCACAATTACGAAGAGGAAGGAAGGCGAAGCCAATGTAGGATTCTTGATCTGTAGCGGAGAAAAGGGGATAGGAAAGGGGCTTTGTGCGAAACAGTGAGGATGAGAAGAGAATTGTATCTTTGAGGGTTTTGAGCAGGGGTTGGAGGATTTCTTACGACTCTCTGGCAATTTTTTCCCATGAGTTTTCTAATAATGAAGTGCGCAATCGTTGACGGCATTCAGAGGTAGGAGTAGGTAGGGCTGTAACTTTTTTTTTTTTTTATGGTCGACATCTGCCTCCCAAAAAATATGATGTGTGCTTGAAGTAGATCATGTTTGTTGTAAATTAATTGACCATACGAATCTCCCAATCCATTTAGTTGTCAAGTTGAGAGTTCAACTTTGTGGATCTCTGAGGAAAAGTCACGGATGTCGACACAATATGAATTTCACATTGGAGATACAAGCTTATATCATCATAGTCCAACTTTAGTTCACGTCACCTCTAATTAATTATCATTAATTTTGCAAGGAAATTGAGTTTTTCCTCAACTTTATATTTTTTTGTCCTATGCTTTATGCTTTAAAGGCCTAGCACTTGATGCTTCAATGGACTCATTGACGACTAAACTCTCTTAGTTCAACTTCGAGCTTTATATGAACTCTGTGATAAATACTTTTTTCTTATGCTTTTTATCTTAACGGACTTGTTGAAATTTTTAGTTTCAATCCCTTCGAAATTTTAGAGCCCCTTTTCTCTTAATTTTATGTCTTAATTTGGTATATTAACATACTTCATGAATGACTTAACCTAAATTATCTCTACGGACATTTCGGGAGAATGTCCATACCTTCAGTCGTAGCTTTATGCATTGGTGGACTTGTTGAAGGAATTGAACTGAGTTGTCTCTATGGACTGGTCAGGTGAATGAACATACATTTATTTCTTGCTTTGTGCTTTGACAGACTTGTTGAAGGATGTATACCAGCGACCTAGCTTTTGGAGTTATGTTGAGTCAGTGGCTAGAGATAGTTGCTCCCGTGCTTTGCGCTTTATTAGACTTATTGGTGATTGATTCCCCTTAGTTTAACATCGAGCTTTGAACGAACTATGGGAACGTCTTCGATTCATTACTTTACGCATGATCAGATCTTTTTGAAAGTAGTTTGGGTTTTCTAAACAGTGAGTTTAGCTTGATGTTTTTTGAGCAATAATCATTTCTTTTGATTTTTCTTGACCTTTTGACCAATAAAAAAATCTTTTTGATCTAATTTTCTTTGATTTATCAAGTCAAATAGTCTTGAAACTTGACAGTTTTTGTATCAAACTAGCCAAAAAAAAGCTTCTTATTGTGGCCATTTTTATGGTTTGTTGAGTGAAGAGAACTGCTAGCGAATCAATCATATTTGAGATTGTTAAGTTCGACCTACAGGATCTTTTTGAGTCCTAGGATTAGATTGTAGGGAGCTTGTGCTTCTTCAACTTAATAGACATAAGCTTATATACTTGGCAGTCTTCTTTTTTATATCACAAGGCCTTGAAACTTATATTTTGGTAGGAATGTGACTTATTCTTCATGGGATGTCCTTATAATACCTTACGAACCCTCCCTTTTGTAATTTATTAATGATTAAGTGCTCTTATATTTTATTATTTCCTTTAAAAATTAATGTCGGGGAAATTTTCTCATCTTCTCAAAATTTTAAAAGTGCTATTTTCTTTTGAATTACTATTAAGTTTGATGCGGAGCTTTCTTGCGTGGATGCGGCACGCGGGAGTGGGGTTCCCTGCAGCAGGAGTGCGGGAGCAAAGTCTCCCGCAACGAACCAGCCTGTCTATTGAAAACCTGTCCAGGGGAATCCCGAGCCAAGTGGCCCGGGCGAGAATCCTGATGGGGCGAGCGGTCTCCCACACTTCGTCCCTTGTCGTTTCTGCTTCTTCTCCTTGGGGAAACTTTTAATGGCTATTGTGGAGTATTTCCACCCCTTGTGTGTAGCAGTTTCATTTTCTTCTTTCGTTTTCCTCTCCAATAGGAGTCTATATATTGCTATTTTCAGATTTTTAGGGCAGTTTTTGCTGTGTTGATTTCAAATTCTTGTGTGGAATCCTATTTCCCCTTTGTGGGCTGTATCTGAAAAGGTGGTGGGGCTCCGACTGTATCCTACTCCTAGGTGGTGATTGCATCTCCCTTTTTATCTTTCCTACTTAGTCTCCTCTACTACCCTTAGATGCCGACCATCCCCAACTGCTTCCCCCATTGTTGCCGCCCCCGTTTCTACTGCAGCAACTTGTTGCCCAGCTCTTTCTCCTCAACTTTTCCTAACTGCATGCCCTCCCAACTGCTGTCATGTTACTCCCAGCTGCCATCTCACCTTCCCGGCTCGCTATCCTACCTTCCAACCAACCTCCACCGCCCTTGGGATACACTCTCGAGGTGTTTGTTTGTGTCGTTTGTATTTTGGTGTTGTTATTTCCAATTTGTGTGTTGTAACCCTCTTTTCCTATTAATAAAAGTTCATTTTATGATTTGGGTCTTTTCCTCTCTTGGTATCAAAGCTTAACTGTACATATGCAAATATCAATCTGCACTATTATATAATTGATTTAGATCTATGCTTTTTTTGTAATATTTGATAGAAAAGCTTCAAATTTGTAGACCTATTTGCAATCTGTTACCATAAAGCTTGAGGAATGGAGGTTAAAGAAACGGGATACTGAACAATGGATGAGGCACCGCCAGCTACCTCAGGAATTGCGGGAACGGGTCAAACGTTTTGTACAGTATAAGTGGTTTGCAACCCGAGGTGTGGACGAAGAGGCTGTATTACAAGATCTGCCGGGCGATCTTCGGCGAGATATTCAATGCCATTTATGCTTGGATCTTGTCCGCAGGGTATGCAGCTGTTTTTAACTGCAATTTATTTAAGTGATTATTTATTTATTTTTATTTTGGATGAATTTGTCATTTTGATTTAGAATACTAATTTATCAATTTAAATAGCGACACTGTGAAGGAATGAATCTTGAAATCAATTGGCTTTATGTTGATATATTAGCTTTTGTTGCTTAGAATAATAAAAGGCAAATCATCAATTTCTGGCAGTTTCCTTTTATTGCTGGAACTTCCCTCTGGAGAGCGCTGCAAGCAAATTAAATTGACAACTTTCTTGTCTCTCTTTATATTAATCATTTTCAGCTATAAAACAAGTTAATGCAGAAAATGTAACTTTCAGTAAATCATTCTTTCGAGACATTCATAGATTGTGTAATTAACGGTTGTTAATTATGAATATTATTTCTTCTTTTTTTTACTTCCAACTGATGTGCATTTTAACTAAAGCCTTAATGTACTTTCCTTTCTTGCATCGTAGCCACAGCAGTGGTTGGTTTATGCTTATGTTTTACAATGTACTTGTTTAAAGCAATTTGTTTTTGTTGCAACTAATCAATGAAATTAGTACAATATGAAGTAATTACAAGTAATTATTAAATAATAAAGAGGAAACTGAAATACACCATTAAACTGACTTGAAAACAAAGAAGTGCCCTTCTGGAGGACAAAGAGATCCCTAAGGGTTTTCATTTATTGCATCTTGCTTGTAGTTTTGTGAACCTTGATGAGTGGCAATACATTCTCTTTCTATTTTTTCCCATCCTAGTAAGCAGAATTTGAAACATTTTATCCACTTGTGCTTTGTTTCTAGGAATGCTGTCACCAGTATAATAAGATTGCTTAGGATTTGGGTCATCAACACTCTCGACAGCACGATGATCACGAGTAGCTGACACATCAGGTGGATCTCATTCAAATGTTCATGTATGCAAATGGGGTGTTGACCACCTCCCTAGGGTTTAGAATAGCTAAGGAAGGCCTCTAATTCGATGAAAAGGTATAAAGTTGGTTCCAAACTTCGTGTACAAGCCATATCTAAAACAGTAAGAGCTAGAACCACAATGTTTGGTAGATTTTGATATTTGGTATGTTCCCCCATATCCATAGTGTTAGGTTCAATAAAAAATTATTCCCTATGTTCCTTTGAGCCTTGAAATATCTAGTAACTAAGAATTTTACAAAAAGAACAATAGGAAGACATGCACTTAAACATTTTGCTAATAATCACTCGCTATGGAACTGATCCAAATCTCTTTTTCAAAGGCATAGTAGCATCCATTATAATTTATAACCTTAACTACAAACAGCCTAGAGAGCTAACATTCATTTATAAATGCTTGCCAAAAATATAATCAACAGTGTATAGAGTGGATTGGTTGGAATAGTGTAACTCAAAGTCAAGAAAAAGCAATCCAATTTAGATTTAGAGGTTTTGCCTTCGAATAATCGAAGTATGGAGGCCACTTAAACATCCAAATTCAAAAACTATCCACATACCATGATCTCTGCAAGAAAAGTCTTGAATAATATGCTTCTAAGGATTGTTTGATAAGAACATGCCAAGAGTCAACAAGCCAATTATAGTAAAAGTAAATGGAGATATCAACTTAGAGATATCATCTTAAAAGAAAAAAAAGAACAAGTTTATCATGCAGGTGGATGGCAAATTAATTTGAGGTGGTTATGAGCTTTGTTGAAAAAATTGAGGAAAAAGTGGAGGAAGCAAAGTTGAAATCTTGGTAATTCTTCACACGACAGCCTTAGCGAAAGAATGAGGAGTGCATGAGCAAAAATCTCAACAAAAATAGATATCCTAGATGCGAGAAACTTGCACGAATTTTATAGGGTCAACAAGATAACTGGCAGTGGAGGAGGATTTGGTTCCAAATTAAAAGCCATATTTAATAGGGCTTCCGTATAACAATTATAAAATAGATATGTGAGAGTAATCAATGTTGGACGTAATATGGTGGGTTCGATGGATGTTTAACAGAAAGTGGACTAAAAGGTTGAACAAAAGATAATGAGCAATAGAGAGATTCAAATTGGAGGTGGCCTATAGTTGCGAGGGCATTGAATTTGATGCAAGAGTGACTGATACCAGAGACATAGTGTCAGCAAAGATATCTATATTATTCACATTGGATGGACGGGATCGGGATGCCTGTGCTAACGGGCATCAATGCCATAGTTCTGCCTACACGGAGTGAGTCATTGCAAATGACCACAAGGAGATAGTGTGACTGTAAACATAAAAAAGTTGTTGGAGTGCGACCATAAACCTACATGAGTTAATTTTGTATCATCATCTTCGTTAAGAGAATAATTTAACGGACGAAGCTTAAAATGATCATGAAGAGCAAGAAAAGCCCACAATTACTGTACCCATGGAGGCTCTTGATTGGTTCTTGAGGAGGGTTGTTGTTATGATCTGAGTTCCTTCTATCATCTTGGTTCTTGAGGGTTGTTGTTATGATCTGAGTTCCTTCTATCATTATCATTTGGATTGGGGGTAGTAAGCCCTTGGTTGAAGTCATCATTCCGTGAGTGCCGCCAATTGTCTTCCTTAAATATTGATCTGGAATGGCCATGTGCGCAGCCTTAAGACTTACACCTGATTTGATTGTTTGAATATGTAGCTGGCACATGAATGAGATCAAATGATGAGGATGTGCCTTAGAAAAGTGGACCGATCAATGGCACATACTTTTAACAAATATGGAAAGCTATTTGGGGATTGATGCTGATTTCATAGCTATTAAAGAGACTGATTTCGGAGTAAACCCAAATCACGATGCTTGACACAATTGTATTAATGACCTAAACAAGGTTACAATGAAGACTAAAAAAAAAAAGACAACGTACAAAACAAAGCGTAAAACAAAAGATTACAAATAAAAACTCGACAAAAGAAGACATGACAAACTTGATGAGGGAATCTGGGTGGTGGTGCAAGGCAAGCGGCTGCGGTGAAGTCCGGAGAGGTGACTCGCTGCTATGGAAGGGATGACAACAAATCAACGAGGGTAGGGCCGTTAAACCGCAGTTGGAGGAAGCTTGGAAGGGGCAGCGGTGGTCTTGGCCTGCAAGGAAGTTGTAGGGAGAGTTTGTTGGTCTGCTATTGGAGCGACGCTATCAAGGGCAGCGGTGGTTGTGGCCTGCCAGAAAAGAAGAGCAGGGGCTACAGGCGGTTGAAGGGTTGTTGCAGCCTGCTGGAAGAACAGGGGGCGGCAGCAATTTGCAGGCATGCAGGGAGATCAGTGGGGCCTGCTGTAGTGATGAGAAGCGGTTGACAGAAGCAGGGAGGGTGGACGGATAGATAAAGATCTCGGCGTGGTCGAGGTACAACCGGAGCAGTGGAAACGATCACCACCTCGGACGAGGGACAACGGAAGCACTACCTTGATGTCGGTACAACCCTCTAAGGAAAAATACCAAGGCCCACCTGAATTCATATATAAAAAACAAGACCCCTAACTCCAAGCACATTATCTCCTATTTATAAGAGAGTAACCTCTTTTAAGAAAAAAAACTTAAAATAAGGAGAATAAAATCAGATTTCAGATTTTAGGAAAGATTTTGTAAAATAAGTAAGGAGAATAAAATCAGATTTTTGATTTTAGGAAAGACTTTTAAAATAAGAAGGGGGGAGAATAAAATCACATCTCTAAATTTAGGAAAGGATTTAAATTAGAAAGAGTCTGGGGGAGAAAGTAAGAAAAGAAGGAAAGGATGGAAACAGGAAGGGAGGGAAGAGGAAGGAGGGGGCGGCAGCCCTCCTCCCTTGAGGACCAGCCGGTCCAACCAGGCTGGGCCGAGCCCAAGCTAGTCCTCCCCTGAGCCCTGCGTCAGAGACAATGGTCTGTTCCTTTTGTTATTCCCTGTTTTCCTTCAAAATCCAAACGTGCAAGTAGAAAATCTGCAACGCAGGAAGTCTGCTGACTAACACTAAGAATTTCTGTATCTTTAGAAAATGAAGTTTAAACCATCAAATCAAACAATTATAGGAAATATTTATAATTTAAGCACATCAGCAATCTGCAAAAGTGTCAGTAGTCTCACAGCATGCTTCTTTACTGCAGCTTCCAGCTATTTCTTATCTTTATTTCAATCGGAAATGCAGGCAAAGTGCATAGTAAAAAATCAAATTCTGAGAAATAGTGTTGGCTACTTGAATCTGGTTTTGCTATAACATGAGTTCCTTGAGCATGCATCTACAGGTTTTCCTATTAGAGGCTGAAGAAAGCTAGTGATAAATAGAGTCTACTTTCAGTTAAGATAAAATTTTGATACAATAATCACAATTAAATCATCTTAAGGCTGTTATGTTATCCAGCTATTTATGATTCTAAGAGAGGAGGTTGAGTTATAAAGCGTTGGCTATGATTCATTGCTAACTAGAAATAACTTCAGAAATTTATTGTTTGTAAAGCATTTGGAGAATTCGAGGCCTTCTCCCTTGGAAATGATTCTTATTACTTGATGCTGAAATCCACATGTTTAATTCACTGATCTTTCTTGATTATGGATATCAAGAATTTATCATCAATATATTGCCTTAAGTGGTCTATAGGGCTACTATCCTTTGCATTTCTAATTTTCCCCATTTATTGTGGTTTAAATGTTGGATTCGATTCTACATGTTAAGCCTATAATTATTTTTCTCCCTCGGGGAATGATTTACATATATGTACAACAATAGAAAAAATGGGGCCATTTAACATGAATGCTAAATAATTCTTATTTATTTACGTATCTAACACCTAAACATTCATATTTACATGCCTACCACTCAAATCTTCAACATCACATTAAAAAAAAGACCACCGTCACTATCTTTTTAAGAATAGAATACACCTTTTAATGCATAGTTTTATGACACTAAGGTGTTATAGTGTAAATATCAATCTTGGCTGTTAGATCTTTAAATACTACCAAAAAAAATAAAAAAAATCTGATGATTTGCCTAAAAAATAAAAAAAAATAAAAAAAATCTGATGATTTGCCATGTGCAGGTTCCTTTTTTCTCCCAGATGGATGATCCGCTCCTCGATGCAATATGTGAGCGCTTAGTTTCATCCCTATACACTGAAGGTTCTTACATTGTTCGCGAAGGCGATCCTGTAACTGAGATGTTATTTGTGATCCGTGGAAAGCTCGAGAGCTCAACCACCAATGGCGGTCAAACAGGTTTCTTCAACTCCATAACTCTAAGGGCGGGTGACTTTTGTGGAGAAGAGCTTCTTTCATGGGCCTTACTTCCAACCACAAACCTTCCCTCCTCTACTCGAACCGTTCGGGCTCTTGTTGAAGTAGAGGCCTTTGCTTTAAGGGCAGATGATCTAAATTTTGTGGCTAGCCAATTCAGGAGGCTCCATAGCAAGAAACTTCAACATACCTTTAGGTTCTACTCCCATCATTGGAGAACGTGGGCTGCTTGCTTCATTCAAGCATGGTGGCGCAGGTATAAGAGAAGGATGTCTAAGACTCATAGCTTGGGTGAGTCATTCTTCTCTGCAGCTGAAAGCATAGCTACTCATGAATCTGAGGACGAATATGAGGATGTGGCTGGTCGAAACTCATCAAACGCCTCTCAACTCGAGCAAAATATTGGAGCCAAGATTCTGCCTTTGAAGTTTTCTAAAAGCACCAGGAGGGGAGCCCAGAGAAGTGAAGGCGTTGATATATCCAAGTTGAGGAAGCCTGATGAGCCTGATTTTTCTGCTGATGATCATGACTAGTGCTAATTCTGGAATGCCACAATTGTGATGAACCTAAAAAATGAAAATCTTCTCTCTAGCTCCTTGGGAGCCAACCCAGCAATGAAGTGAGTCCGACTGTTCAATTTTAATAGGGAAATTTACATACTTAGCACTCAATTCTTATATATTTACATATCTCTCGTCTAGGGTTTCATATTTACATGCATAGAATTGTTGATGTTTTAAACCTATGCATGAAAATGTGTATTTCACTTTTAAAAAGTGATAATAGAGCTATTTTTTATGCAATATTAAAGATTTTAGTCCCATGTGTGTAAATATGAAAGTTTGAGTATGAGATATGTAAATTCATAAGAATAATGTGCTGTGCATGTAAATGCCTCATTTTAATAATGTCATTTGTAAACGTGAAATTTCTAAACCTTCCGAAGTATTTATTACCAGTTTGATATGTCATAAAATTTGGCGTACATTGTTTTGGGTTGATGTGTGCATCGGTCTAGTTTTAAACTCTCATAGTGAGCATGTATAATGAAAACATCCTTCTTGTTACCAGACTGATCATAAATAAGCACTGCCGTGGCAGATTTCTTAGTTTGTTAAAAAGTACTAGAAAGTTGTGAAATAGACTGTTATTCTTTGCTGGTAACTATAACATTTATGGTTGTTTGTGAAATTATTTCGTATAGTGCTCATTAGAAATCATGCTTATAAAAATATTGAAGTTTAACAATTTTCTTATTTGATTGGATATAGTTATGCATTGTGAGTAATTTTAACTTCTTAAATTTTTGCAGAGCTATCAAAAGTTATAATTTTATTTTTTGCATTTCAAAGGAATGAATATAAATCTTTTGATGTACCCCTTTACTAATAGTTTAGTTCATCACATGGTGAAACTGAAGCTAAAGGAATCATTTCAGAAATACAAAATACTTGATAATCTTTATCAGCATAAGAAATTATTTGAAGTCGGTGATCTCATTATGATATATGTCAACAAGCATAGATATCCTTCTAAGATGTATAATGAATTAAAAGTTTTGACTCATTTTTGGTGAAGAAGAAACTCGATGATACTGCATATTTGATTAATCTACAGAATGATCTAAAGATTTTAAACATCTTTAATGCTAAAAACATAATGAGTACACCCAACAAATGTAGCCGCCACTTTTAAAGCTGACTTTGTGTCTTGGTTTTCAAAGGGTGGAATGGATTGATGCCCTCACTTTAGATGTTCATATTCCGTTTGTCTTAAGTAGGGATGCCAATTTGGTTCAATAATCATGTTTTTGCTTGTTTTGAAATTGGCCCTGCTCAAATAAGATTGACTTGAATCTGACCCATTTACATGTGTTCAAATATTTGACTTGAACTGCCTAAATAATAATAAAAAAAGACTCGTGCAATTGCACACACAATTTCTATATTAACATGACCAATTAACCCAAATATGAATCATTTAACCCAATTATAATCTTCATCAAGTTGGTCATCCTGTTTAATCTCTTGACACTTAATGCAAGGTCTACCAACATTTTTATTTTCATTGGATGTCAGCAAATGATCCACCCAACTCCAACAATCATAAATGTCTTTATATTTTTAAGATTTGATATCCGACTTAACCCAAACAACAACAATATGCAAATATTGTTACTGAAAAAAAGTCAATAAACGATTACAATAATCACATGAGAAAGTGAAAAATAACAATATACACAACCAAACTCAACTAAAGCGTACCACAAGGATGGTGACTAGTGAAGGAGGTTGTGAGTTGGTCGTGGGTGCGACAAGAAAGGGGAAGGAGAGTGTTGATTTGCGGCAGGGTGAAGTTTGGTGGCTGTGAAAAGTGGTGGGGAGGTTGCGGGTGGCCAAGACATCAATTAAGTGGTAGGGAGCGGGTTCGGGAAGGTTGGAACAAAAGCTTGGATGCAAGGGAAGTGATTTTGAGAGGCTGAGGAAGTGGATAGGTGACATGAGTGGGTCGACTGGGTGTTGGAAGGCGGTGTTGATGGATGGAAGCAAGTTGGGAGGGTCTAAGTGGTAGGCAGTTGTAGAAAATAACAAGGTGGCTGTTGTCCGGGTGGTTGCAACGAGTATGACGACGATGGCAACAGAGAGCAGGTTGCAGAGCACGTGGGAAGGCCGAGAATAATCACCACCTCGGACAAGATACAACTGAAGCACTACCCATCATCGAATACATCTCTAGAAGGAAAAATCTGGATGTTGATTGCTATCCTGCCAGAAAACATGAAGAAAAATGCCCCAAAACATATATATATATATATATATATATTTGAAAAGATGTTATTTAATAGTTCAATCTTGCCAATTTTATTACTTAGGACTTATATTTGCATAATACCCGATTATACAAATAGCCTACAGAGAAATGAGGGTTTACATCGTATCGTACGATAACCTCGGAACCTAAAGCGAGTTAGGACTTATGCTGCACAAAATGATTGTACAAGAGCCTAAAAAGGGAGTGTGAGGATTTACGCCACGCTAGGCGAGCTACCTCGAAGCCCTATGTGTTATTATTATACTAGGAAGAGATAAATGCTGAAGAAGATCTTCTTGCTGCTCGCTCCAAGCTCCTCGTCCTGCTGCCCACAAAGTTGGCTCCAAACTCCTGTCGTCGCGATGGCTCCAGGGTTTAAGTATTTGAAAATAGTAGTTTATGTTTCACAGTTTTGATATCAGTGTTTTGGTTTTGCATGCAGGGTAATAAAATTACAGTTTAAACACTACCCATCATCGAATACATCTCTAGAAGGAAAAATCTGGATGTTGATTGCTATCCTGCCAGAAAACATGAAGAAAAATGCCCCAAAACATATATATATATATATATATA